CCAGGTGAGAGGAATGCCTGGCCTCAGGCAGGGGGCTGGAAAAGTGGGAGACAAATTGGAAAATCATTTTGAAGATGGACTTGGCAGAACTGAACTCACCTTCAGTCAGAACTAATTCGATGTAGAGCAGGAGGGGAGGGAGAAGGTTTGAGAAGAATGCGAAGCTGTAATTTGAGTATCTGGGTAGTATTTTCTCAACACCTTTTAGTAGGAGAAGACTGAATTTACCTAATCCTTAGATGACTACTCAGATACGTATTAACTCTCTAGTTAGTATTTAAATAATTAAAAAGAAACATCTAATCCAAAAGAATCAACTGTCAACAGGTGAGTACTTTTGGGGGCCAAAGAGGCTTCACTGTTTTTGAAATGATGTTACCTACTCATCTTTCGGTCCTCCGTGGGGCCCTGTTCAGAAAGCTGAGGCCCTGGAGCCTTCCTTGCTTTCCCTTCTAATGATCCCTGAGTCAGAGGGAGGAGGCTGCCCTGGGTAAGCTGCAGGGGAGAGGGATGACTCAGAACAGCCTATGCCAAGCCACAACATCAAGTTGTTTGGGGAGTAGTCCTAAAAATTAATGTTGTCATAGTTTCATCTTAATTTTTATCAGCTGGATACGGAGGAGGCTTCATTGTCATATACTTAATGTTTTTGCTCAGATCTTTGGCTAATCAATGCTTTTCCGTGACTTTCTGACAGTTATTTTTGTTCGATAATGAATAATAAGGTGAAATTTACAGTCTGCATGTAACAACACTTGTTTTATTTTGACATGTCTTTTCTAGACAGCAAAGGTTTTATAACTGGGTTTTCCCTCTGCCAAAACACTGCTGACAAAAATATTTCATAGCTTCCTTTACTAACTTGCATCATCTTAGTTTGATTTGAAAGTTTCTTCGTAAGTCATTCAGGAAATGAAACAAAAATTTTTCCTGAAAATGATTTCTTAACAAGAAAGAAATTAACTTTTCCCAAATAGAAAATTAAGAAAGAAAATGAGGAGAAACATACTTGAAATGCTGGTGGGTCTATTGTCTTTTAAAATTTCAACATAGTTCAGCTCCTTTTAGTAAGCAATGTAGGAAACTGTCTTTCCAACCTTGTTTCAAGGAAGCTTATTTTATTCTTGCTGCTACGCTGCTGATCAGTTTTGTGTTGAACCCTTTGAAATCCCCTGGGAGACTGGACTAGAACTGATGAGCAGCATTCTGTGTAACCAACAGAAGCCCTAACTTGGTGGGTTCTGCCCTTTGGTGATAGGTGGCAACCATTGGCCAGGTGCTGTCTGCAGAGGGACAAGGGCAGGTGAGGCTGAACTGCCTTCCTTTTGAGGCCACGTCTGCAGTTGGCTCTATGACAGGAGAGTCCAGGAGAAGTTCAGGTGTGTCAGGTGACAGGGCTGTCTCTCTGGAATGCTCTTGAAAAAAATGATTAAGGAAGCCACGCTGGTAACTGTCGTTGGAATTGCTTATCATTCCTAATGGCAAAAACATCACAGCGAGCTAATTGCAAAAACAGGTACACTCATGGCATCAGCTCCCTACCCTAATGATACGTGGAAACACTTTCCAGCTCCTACAGTAGCAATAGTGGCCAAATTCTCTTTACAGCCCAGAGAATTTTCCTTTCTGAGTCATAACTGCAGGGCGCTCCTGGAATCAGAGTCCAGATCCAGCCACCCTTATCCCAATCATCTCCACTCTTATTTCTACCACCGTCCTTATCTAGTATTTTTTTTTATTAAGCACTAACAAATAGATGCCACTGAAGGGCACATTATATCAGAAAAGTGTATCCATTTAAAACACAACAGGCATCTTTTAAAGAGTTGTACTTTATGGCATTCTAGACAGTCGAGTAATAATAGTTCTGTCTCAGCCATTCTTAACATCGGGTTAGGGTGTCAACACTTCTTTCCACTGTAGTTTCGTATCACATGATCAGCATCTTCTTTTAAGTTTTGATATATTGGTTATGGGTGACTGGTACTCTGGAGTATGAGGAGCAAGGAGGAATTCCTTCTGTCCAGAGATGGTTGCCCGTTGGTGTTCAGAATATACAGGTCTGCCCAAGCTTTGCATGTGAAATGGAACCTGTGTTTCATCAACTGGCTTGAGTAAATATCTGGGCTTTCAGTTTTGTCAAGAGACTCATCAAGATTTGGCTCAAGCGGCTAAGGCACCAGCCACATACACCTAAGGTGGCGGGTTCGAATCCCCATCCCGGGCCCGCCAAACAACAATGATGGCTGCAACCAAAAAATGGCCGGGCGTTGTGGCAGGCGCCTGTGGTCCCAGCTACTTGGGAGGCTGAGGCAGGAGA